GGATTAATGAAGTAGTTCTTTAGAGCATTTGCCATTGCTGTCAAGTCAATTGTAATATGTCTGTTAATGTTCAATTGTGTCAGTCCTTTCTTCTGATTTGAGTCTTTTTTCATGAGTTTGTTGATGTGAGATCAGAGAGCTGAGCTGCTAACTCCTGATTGGGCGATCAGTTTAGTGAAGTAGCTGCTTTTGCTTTTCATAACCCTCCCACTGTCCTAATGGGTGACCCCGCGAGGAAAGTTGACCATTGAGCAGGATTGATGGTTCATCCCTTGAGGTCCACGTGGCAGGGGTGATGTGGTGCCCACTCCTCACGCCTCCCACATAGACCTCAAGTGATAAACCATCAACCTTGCTCAATGGTCAACTTTCCTAGCGGGGTCACACCCATTAGGACGGTGGGAGGGTTAAAGAGCTGACTTTGTTCTTTAAACAACTCTGGAGCTTTTTGCCTGCCGGTGTTGATTTACCGGCACTGCTGCCTAGTTTATGCTTCTGCGTCTGAATCGGCATGGAGACGCACAATGCCATTTTCCGTCATTGTGAGGTGCCTCGAGCAGTCTCGCAAGGTTGTATGCAGTCGTGCCCACTTTTCTAAATATTCCTCGAACGAGATGGAGAGTACAAGCTTGTATATGGTCAGGATGCCGCTTCCTTTGAATTCACCAACAGCACTGCCATTGCGCCCTCAAAAAGAATGAAGAGAGATGAAAATATCTAGCCGCACACACGGAGCAGCTTGAAGAATACCTCAAGGAGAAACCCTGAAAATATGAACGTTTATTCACCCGTGACTGTAGAGGTATAAAGACACACATCGAGCATTTTATTCATGGACGGAAACAACAGGAAACGTGGGTTTAGAGGCGGTAAGTGCATGAAGAGTTGGAGGAGAATGAGGGACAAATTTTTCCATGAATAAAAGTAACTGGAATACAAAAACACAATATAAACACAAAAGTAAATGCACTATCTTGGACCAGATACATAGGATTACCTAAAAAAAACAGTACGCCCTCTGTTGTCCTGCCAGGAAATTGCTTTGCAACACCCCCCAGGTGACGGAGAAGTTTGAAGGCAAATCGTTTCTCTCAATACGTGTGCATCTCTCCCTCATGGAGCTGACGGCAGAAGCATTAACTAGGCTTTAGCTCGGCGCAAACTCGGCAACCACACCGGCTCACAGATTCTGAGCAAAGACCACATCCCTCTTTAGTTGATTTTAAAAGGAGAAAAACTGAGAGCGCCCAGCCGGTCGAGGATGAAATCTGTTTCTATGTAACCTTCCTTCAAACATGACTGAGACATTAGACTGATAATTATTTCACAGAAAATTCTTACATATTGTACCTTTAATGAAGCCGGATTGAATAAATGAACGATTCTGCAAAAACCAGTAGCCCTGTAAGTTGTGTGGCTGTTATTTTAACATGTTCCACATCTAAATCCTGTAAAGAGATCAGTGCTCAACTCTGAATGTTTTTGAACCTGACCCGTTCCGTTTTAGTTGATCCAAACGTGTTACTCACAGATGGGAAAAGAAGCTCTCTAAATCTGCTGTCAAGCCAAAATGTTGCAGCAACAAATTGAGCTTCTCTCCCATGGATACTCGTGAATACCAAATTGATTTTAACATTTTTGTTATTCTCACGCATACAGGTCTGAATGACCGTGTTCTATCGTATCCTAAAATCTCCATAATTCCACGTTTTTCCCAACAGAACATTTTGATTTTAGAGAGAACCTTTTGTCAGAGCCAGCTCCTAGGGGAAAACTGTTTTGTCTTAAAACTTTTCTTTTTTTTTAATCAAGCATTTACAACAGCAGACCGAGGCTTTCCTTAAGTTATTTTGTTTAATGATTGTGCTGATGGGACGACCCCCCCCCCCCCCCCCCGCACACTGACACTCTCTCTACAATCTTCTGAAAGAACATAATTATATAGAAAATGTTTACAATATTCTAATTGCCCAAGATGGAATTGTATATATAATTGGAATTATAACAAATGAATGCTTGAAATATCTGGCTTTGCATGTATGTGAGTCTATCAGTCTCATAGATTAGATTCACCTTTTAAGTTGAATTACTGAAATTAATAAACTTTTTCACCATATTCTACTTTTTTTAGTTTCACCTGTATATATTGGCCTGACCAGCCAACGCCATGCTTCCTTATGGGAAGCAATTGTTAGTTCTCTGTGTAAAACTAAACAGAAGATGAGTCTGGCAGTTTTTCAAAACAAAACCCTTTGCATTCCAATGAACTTGAAAAAGTCTGTGTTTATAAATTTATTAGGAATTTTTTTGCTGCCCAGTACCGTAAGATCCACAGACTGGTAGCAGCCCGTGGCCCAGTTGTTGGGGACCCCGCATTCAGACGTAGGTGAAGAAATGTCAGAAAGGTTGTGTCAAATGAACTACAACCACCAAAGTCAGTGTCTCATTGGGGAAAATCCGTCTGCCAAAAGTGAAGCCAATGCAGATGTGACCAAATTGCTATTCCAACTTCATCCACTAGGGGCTGGCTTCAGAAATGAGCAAGTTCTCCAATGTTAAAAATGCAAATTCACAGAGGAAATAAACACGTCTTTAGTCCAGGCTACTTGGGCTCAAGCCCCGGATGTTTCATGATAAGCCCCGGATCTAATACGTGGAAGTAACATGCAGTACCAAAGTCCAACAGAGAGGGCGCAGCTGGCAGTAGTTTGGATACAGCCTGCCTGAGCCTCCACCACTGAAGAAGAAGCCCTTCAGCAGCCGGCTTCCTCTACACTCTCTGCCTGAAACCTGAAACGCATGTGTGAAGATGGACATAAGGACGTTTTTTAGACCAGAAGTACAAGGACAGAACCCCAGCTTTGATGAGACTGGTGTTGACTCAGATTTGTGAGTCTTATTTGAAAATATTTGTTGCGTGGCTGGTTTGCCTAAAGTTAGCTTATCAGGTAAAGTGGTTGGGGAAAGAAAGGGAATATTTACTATCATCTCACACTAAACACTAACAGGAACAATACTCTGCCCTGAATATGCTTAATATGTAGCTTCAGATTCAAAATTATGTGGTACAAGACATATATATATATATGATGTTGACTAGTGCGAGTCAAACGTGTGTGTGTGTGTGTGTGTGTGTGTGTGTGTGTGTGTGTGTGTGTGTGTGTGTGTGTGTGTGTGTGTGTGTGTGTGTGTGTGTGTGTGTGCGTTAAGCCCCGGATCTTCTTCAGTCCTAAATCCACCCCTGCTTCAGTCTGATTCAATGAACCTTTTTAGGTTTAATGGGTCAACTTTACCATCATGACAACTCTGAGGAGGGTGAATTGTTTTTGTTACTCATCTTACAAATTTCAGATATATCTTGTGCCTGCATGGGTTTAAAGGGACAACACTTAATCAGATATGAACTAGTCACTTCAAGTCACCAGAGAAAGTCTCTAGAAAAACTTGGAGGAGGGGTATAAAAGTGTTGTCAGACCACACGAGTATCAGTAGAGGGTCTACTTTACACTAGCAGCCTCCAGTAAGCTCATTAGACACCTACCTACAATGAAAAGGCCACTGTGACCACAAAACAACCCACCACCCACACCATACCTACAGTAATTGTCTCACCTCTCAGACTAACCACCCACCTTTTTCATTTGTTTAGCTTTTTTGGATCAAGCACAAAGACACACAAACAGCACTCTGTTTAATCTAAATAAAGCTGCCCTTCCACACATTTACACGTCTCATAATGGGCGAGACTCGGCACCGGGCCCTGTCATTACACACACCATTAAAACGCAGCAGTAGACTAATCTAGCACCTCCAGAAGCAGCAGCAGCAGGAGGCGAGGCTGCAGACGACACGGGAGCCGATGCTGATGGAGAAATGCAGCAGGAGGGACCAAAACAATGATATGTGTTACTAAAGACTTAAAAAATGGGACCCAATGCCTTCTAACTTGACGCTCAGCTTTAAGCGGTTGGATTGGGGGGTTAAATTGTTCCTGAGCGCAGCCACAGCTGCAGCTCACAGCCCCCCGGGGATGGGTCAAATGAGGAGATGAATTTCACCAGTGTGTGACGACTAATAGGACTTTGACTTTAATTATACATTTTAGGATCAAAGAGTGTGCAGGAACAATCAAAGAAGGGAGAAAAGGGGGAGATTCTTGAGTCTGGGTTCAAGCGGTGGAGCATCTGGACTTCAGTGCTTGAGAAGCATGAGGTAGGTGAAGAGGTGAGAGAGAGAGACACCACAGGAGAACCTGCTGGATCAGACAAGCTAGAAATAGATCAGATATATATGCAGGAGAAAGTGGGGAGCAGAAAAGAGAGAACTGCTGGGGAGCAGGGAGGGGATGCTGGAGGAGAGACACAAAGTTGCAGCAGGGGGAGCAACACGCCTGAGATGGGAGGAGCAGCAGGAGAGCATCATTGGAAAAGGACAACAACAAAAAAAAGGGGGGGGGGGTCTGGAAACAGCAGGTTGGAGAGAGAGGTGATGCTGAAGCTGCGGGGGAGGAGGGGCAGTGAGGGAGGTGCGAACACGGGGCCGCTGAGCACCTGTGAGCTATAATTATGATTCACTTTGCTGCTCCAGCAGACTGTGTGATAGCAGAGCCGTGACAGCGCACTCAGGAGGGAGATGTTTGAAACTAAACACCACACATTATCATAAGTCACAACGCACGCGTGCGTTACGAGCGCGCGAGCTGCCTGACATGCTTTTAGAGCCACCAAACCGAAGCTGTGGAGCAACAAAGCGTTTAATCATAAATATCAGCCACACGTGTTATGACTTTACCACATTTATGCAAGAAAATCTGAGCTGAAGCCGACAGAAACGGGTCGAAATCCAACTCGCGCAAGAGTCCTCGTTTTAAACAAAAACTTGGAAAAGTTCACCTCTAAATAAAGTTAAAAGAAGTATAATGTCTGCTTTATTCACAGCTTAATACTTAATTAATTCAGCACCATATCTACAATAATAAATCAAAAGAAAAGCCCACCTACCTTCTACTGCGCACACAACAGTCATTTTTACGCATAAAAGCAGCGCAACCCAAGTGGTCGGTACAGCCAAAGCGGCTCCGCGTCCGTCCGCGGCCATGATCCGGCTGACAGAGAAAATCCCTCGGAAGCACGCTGTATTCCTCCGGTGAGCAGAGCAGTCACATCCCAGAGCTCTCGGATCACAGAAACAACCAGCGGAGTCAGCAGGTAGCGAGGGGGAGATACACTGCTGTTGGGTCTCTCTCCACTCAGCCGCTTTCCTCCGACACCTTCCCGTCCAATCAGGAGCGAGGATGTCCGCTCAAAAACCAATAACCCACTCTTTCCAACCTGACCCTAGATGCGCTCGTCTCCCCCCACCTCCTCCTCCTCTTCCCAGCTCCGGGACCTCGGATCTGTGACTGTGCAGTGACACCTAGTGGTAAAAAGCGGAGTAGCAGCCAAGTTTGAACCAATGTCATTATTGGAAATGAAGGAAAGCATTCTACTGTATATGGAAACAACAGTAGCTCAAAAAAAAGTGTGCACTTTTCATGGATGTATCGTCTTTCTTTTTGGAGTCAATAAATCTTAGTGTTAAGTTTTCTAAATGGTTATTTTTGTCAAGATTTAGAATTAAACAATAACCACAATAACAACCATAGCAAAAACAATATTGATTCAAAGAAACGATGACCCTGGAAGAAAAGCATCGCAGCTTTGTTTGAAAGACGTCCATTGATCTGGGTGTCTCTTCATCAAGCCCGGGCCATACTCTGCCTTTTTCAGCCTTCCCAGACAACATATATATATATATATATATATATATATATATATATATATATATATATATATATATATATATATATATATATATATACATATATATATATATAATATATATCTTGTCCTGAACAGAGGCTTGTCAAGAAACGGTGAGCATGAGAGTGATTTGCAGGTCTGTGGACGTTCACTGACCGGCCCAGATACAGCTCATTGACAGGGCTTGAATTACACACAGGGGAGCCCAATGATAATGCTGTAAGAGCGCATGGGGTCACGTCATCTCTTTGGCTCCCCCAAGCAGGCCAGTTAAGGGCTTCCAGGGGAGCCCATCACCTTTTCGGGAACCGGGTTCCCCCTAGCTCCCCCGTAACATGAACCCAGCTTATTGAGCACTCTCATGAACAATCTCAGCCTCCAGCAGTCTTCAGAGTCAAAAAACCTACGACTTCAACCTGCAATCAACCAATGAAAATACATTCAGGGAGATACACGACAAACTAGTGACAAGAGTACAAAGTGAGTGTAGCATTACACCTGAAACACACCAGCTGCAAAGCACTGCGAAGTGGATCACTCACGAAATTTGTGCGCTGTCCGCTCCTCATCTGTTTACATCAGGAGAGAATTTTCAACGAGCGCTTCTGTTTTATTTTGAAATTTTTAATTTATTTTGGTAGAATTACGGGCCTGCCTCTTCTGTTTTGGTTTGAATTCCTGCCAGAATTGACGCGACTCACTCACGAAACAATGGAGCTCACGCTGAAACGATCGCTGCGCAGTGCGAGCCATCGTGGTGCTTTGAGGCGCTTCGCAGCTGATGTGATCGAGAGCGTAGGTTAACAAGGGTGCCAATTAGAAGCTCTCGCCGTTTTCACGGCGCTTTGCAGTGCTTCGTCGCTGTTTCAACCCAGGGGTCTAGGGAACCTGGGGTAACATGGTAAATGGTAAATGGCCTGTATTTGATATAGCGCCTTCTAGAGTCCTGGAATCCCCCAAGGAAGAGTACTGCCCCTTTAAGGGAGGAGCTGCTGGGGGGATTGAAGGAGCGTGTTGTTGTGAGTGAGCTCTCGTTCATGTTGGCGTGGGAACGGCCAAAGAGATCCTGTGGTTCTACAAAGCTGGTTGAAGTAATAAAGCTGTGAAAGGAAGAAGACCCGCCTCCTGAGCTTCGGTGAGTGTTACAATACCAAAGATGCCACCTAGGAATGATTCCCGACGGGAGGGGGGAGTGTTCTGAGACCATGTTTGTGTTTTTAACCTAGCTTGTTTTGCAGATTTGCTATAGCAGCTTTAATTTTTTCATACCAGCAAGTTCACATCTCCCATGTTAATCTGCTATCTTTTTGTCGTCATTAGCTAAGATTTAATGTTCTCTCACAATAACGATGGAGGACTGAATTATTTTGTTTCCCCTGACAATAAACAGCTAATGAAGAACAACGTGTTTCCCTTGGAAGTTCTTGGGTTTCTGTTGCAATTAGCGGCTAATCTGTTCTCCCTTCTCAGCGGGATTTCGATCCCAGCTTTTACTGCTGCCTCAGCGGTCTTTCCTCTGAGATGCAGCCGTGCGTGTGCACTTTTAGCACAACTGCACTCTCTTCCCTTGCTTTTGCTCCTCCGGCTTCACGTTTTAGTTGAAATAAAACTTTATAAAGTTTTGACAGCTTTCCATCAATGAAACATGTCGGATGTGTGACTTTAACACAGAGAACGCTGAAAGTGTTCTTCACTCCAGAACCTCCGGGTTCATCTGAAACACGTGAAAAGATGTTTTGCAGAGTTAAGAGAACAAGTCAGGATAATTGAGTATGTGCTAGTATATTGCAGGGGATGAAAGGGATTAGGTGAATAACACCTGCACGGGTGTTTTACTTATGTTTACTTACTTCCTCCTGGGAACACGTTGAGTGACATTTTCCTAATTACCATCCAAGCATCTTTAGGTTTGGGACGATTTCTGGTATTCTCACTGGTCCAAGCTTAGCCTGCACACTGGTCTAATCTGCCCAAATCTGTCTCACTTCCTGTGTAATCTGACCGACTTTTAGTCCCACCAGATAAAAAAGCTTTCATTTTAAACCTGAAGCCTTTTGATGAACTTAAGCACAATGTTTTATTCTCTGAGGGATGGTTATGTTTTAACGGTCTCCTGTATGACGTCCATTAATCGTGGCTGTTTGTAAAGATGTGTTTTGTGGACTATAACCAACTGTGATAAACTAGGCTTCACAGAAACACTAATGTGAAGAAAGGCAAATAAAAGGAGTTGTTTTGTTTGTTAAAAAGTGTGCAGCTGCAGGCAGTTAAAATGTCCTTCATACCTCCGACTGCAGAAACCCAAAAATCAATGAAAGACCTGCTGGCTGCCTCGTAAACAAAGCAAGAGCGTTTAGACCGTCTCCAGTGTTAGGGACACTCTGTTGCACTGAACAGAGACAAACGTGACCCGAGGGGCTCGAAGACGTTTGATGCAGGTTTAACGCAAGGCTGAGCTTTGATCGATCAACTTTATTTCATGATGAAAAATCCACAAAACTCCAATGAGAAACAGAATGTTATTGCCATTGTCCTCCCACTTCTCAATTAAACCGGTCTCAGGTGGTCTCAGGCGACATGTTGGGAGGGATGTTGGATATCAGCTTTTCTTCTGATTTACCATCCATTCATCTATTGTCTGAACCCGCTTTGTCCACGTGGGGTCGCGGGGGGGGGGGGGGGGGGGGGGGGGGTTACGCCAGTTGTGCCAAATAAACAAAAAAAAAGCTCTGAAACTTTACCGCATATCTGTCATATATTTATGTAAATTAGGGCTGCTCGATTATGGCAAAAATAATAATCACGATTATGGTGACTGAAATTGAGATCACGATTATTTAGGACGATTTTTCAATTTATGTTGATTTTATTTGTTTTTATTCAGTCATAAAACTGCTCAGGGCACAATCAGGACAAAAATAAGAAACAAGATGATCACTAAAAGAACTCCTGATTCCCAGGATAAAAAGACCAATATACTTATAGCTCATAGTCTATGACCCAAGGGCTATAGACCTTGGTTTAACTCATTTAAGTCTAACCAGTACAGACCCAAATACCAATATCTTGCAAATACTGACAGCAAGAATTATACAGTGGCATTTATAACAAATAAATGCAAATAAATTGATGTTCACAAAATGTTACATAACATTTATTGAGTCGTGTCAAGGTGCTGTAGCACTGTGTCCTCCGAGAGATTAGTTATCAGCGTGAGGAACTTATTTCTACCTTATTTATAAACTATTTATTTACAGGCCCATCAGTTAATGTAATAATTGTCCCGACCACAGCTGCACCCCCCACCCCCCCACCCCGGTCTCACAGCAATCTGGCAAGCTGCACGTGTGTTTAGCACGCCGCACGCGCACATTTAGCTGTTTTTAGCTGCTCAGGAGACCGCAGGTGCGGTGTGTGTGTCACTCACTCTGGTTAATCCAACAAGGAGCCGGCTCCGAGAGCTGTCTTTAGCGACCGACACATCACTGCATCATTCCCTTTCCTAATGTCCTGAAGAACGGTCCGGAGAGCAGGCGAAGTGTTTAGCTAACCTGCAGGAAATGTCGACGACAGTTATCCAGAAAGTAGCTAAGGGTTACCAGAGATGTTTCTGAGATGTTCGCTAGGTACTTTTAGGATTAAAAAGTCAAGAAGGGGGTCTGAAAAGCTGCTAGAAATAGCGTCAAAGTCGCTAAGTTGGCAACACTGTGGAGGAGCGCTTCATTTGCTACTTAGGGCAGCGCACGCGGGAGGAGCAAATAATCGGCTTGTTATGTTTTTTATAATGTTCAAAACTCAGATCGTAATCGTGATTAAAATTCGATTAATTGAGCAGCCCTAATGTAAATGTGTTGTTAAAAGAGCAAAAGCCAAAACCAATAATGACTATTATTACATTTTAATGCCACTTTTGACCGATGATATCGAACCTTTGTACCAAGCTGGTTAAAACCTACTCACTCTGCTCTGTCTTTGTGTCTTTTTCCTTCATTTGGAAACACCGACATCTGGAAAAGACATTATTCAACAGATCCAAACCCCTGGTTAGCACATCGTTGTCATCAGCTTGATTTTCCTTCTTGTTTGTTGGGTGAATGAGGAGCTTGGTTAAACCTCACGGATCAGACGTGTAGCCGAATGAAAGTTGTGGCTAATGGGCGTCAGCATTGCCATGCGACGACACTGTAGGAGACTGGGGTCTCCATGGCCTGGGGGGGGCATTTTGGGAATGGAGGTGCCTATTGGGGCCAGTGGGGGAGCTGGCTCCTTGGAGGGCTTAGGCCAACCAGCCATTCCTCCCCATCCACATACATTTTTCTCCTCCTGCTCCTTCACATCATCACACAATCATACACATAGGACCTTGGGGGTGGGCAAGTCAGGGGTGTGGGTATGGATCCCATTTCCACATTCCTGTGGTAGTCTGCCCCCCAGTTTTATTTGCGCATTAAACACTTCCACCAATGACATTCCATGCAAACACACACTTAGGGCCTTGGGAGTGAGCACATTCAACGGCATTTGGCAAGGGGATCTTTTAGCCTCATCCTGAGTGCCGGTGCCCACTTCCAGTTTTAAACTGCACTTAGACACTGAGAGCTGTGGGGGAAGTGGGATGGTGTGGTTGCATCAGCTGGCGTAGGCCAGACGATGCCTGCGCTGCCTGCTCACCACAGCCATGGAATACACCTCATCAACACGCACTAACACTAAATTGGAGCAGGCAGAGGGAGACTAGGTGTCTTAGCGCACCTCTCTTGTTGCTTGGCTTCCTGGGGCTGGAGGGTAGGAGGGGGAGCTGACCGTCATGTTGGGGTCTGGGGTGGTGGGATGCTTTGCTCAGCATTGGGCGGGGGACCCTGCTCATCATCACCCCAGAAGAAAGGGGCAAACTCTGGGAACCGGTGATGGTTGTACCCCTTGTGCAACAGTACCGGGACCAGAGTGCATGGGGAGCATGAGTGGGTGTCTAGTGTTCACTTTTGTAAGTCTTAGGTTGTATGTGTATGTGTGAGCATGAGGGAGGGAGTGTGTGACTGTGTCTGTGTATGACTGTATATGTCAGGTGGGGTCTTGGACTCCTCCCCTCTCCTGGGACTTGTGCTGCTATACATCTTCGCCTACCCTTCCCCTGTCACACCTGGTGTGGAGTGTGGTGCCTTGTTCTGCCAGAGTGTTCGCAGCTCCTGGGTCAGGGGGTTTAAGATTTTTGTAGGCTGCCTGGTGGGATCTGAGTCGCTGGGCTCTGTTGGGTCCTTGGCGGGGCTGGTCGCCCCTGGGTCCCGGGTCGCTGGGTTCCGGGCTCGGCCGGCTTGGGGCTGGGAGGCTGCAGGCGGGCCTGAGGGCTTGCTGCTGATATCTCCCGGGACTCTGCCGGCTGCTGGTTGTGTCCCCCCCCCCCCCCCCCCCCCCCACCCCCGGGGGGCAATCCTCTGCGCCTCTCGAGGGGGGCAGGGGCTTTTCTGGTTACAGTCTCCCTAGGGTCCCTGTGCTCTGGAGCAGCTCCTGGTTCTCTGGGACTTGGAGCTCCCTCCATCTCCTGCACATCTTTGGGGGGCAGACCTGTGGCCCTTCACACTCTCTATTAGCTGCTCCTATAGTGAAACCTTACATATACAAGCGTGTGTACACACACAGGTGCTCACATGGTGCTCTCATAAGTATGGACTTTGGCATTTTCAACACATGTCTTAAGGCTGTGGTTGGCACTAAATGCACTGTGATTTATCATTGTTTGATTGTTCAATAAAACAATGTTGATTTTATATTTCCTCATCAGGTTGACGCAGTGATAGCTTGCTCCTGTTGTATTGTTGTGTGTCCCTTTCTTTTTCTTTTTTTGTTTGGTTTTCTCTTTCTGCAGGTCTAGAAGCAGACTCTTGTTCATCATTGATTGTTTATTTTGTGGACACCCACTTCCACCCCCTTGTCTCTTTCTTTCTCTTTCATCTCTGTCTCTGTGTCTGGTTGGAATATTAAAGCATTCAAAAAACAATACCAATAAAGTTTTAAGTATCAGGGGTGACATTAAATCAGAAGCTTTGATGCTCCACCTGAGAGTAAATCTGTAAGGCATTCAGACATTAATTCTGTTTGCTTCACAGCCAGACACGGGAAAAAAATAAAAAATAAAACAAAAACATTTGTAAAAGCAAAAATATGAGAAAATTTTTCATCTTCATCCACAAAGTTTGGCAATTTTTACTTTATTGCCAAATTGCTGACAGATTTTTTTTTCCCAGTTCGACTTTACAACATAAACAGTCATCCAACATCTGCTAAAATCAACCAGAATGTAATGAGTGAAATGTGTGAACAAATACAGTGAGGGTGAAAAACCAGACAAAATAAACAGTTCCAGAGTGTGTAAATATGTGCATAAGCAACACATCTGCTGTTTATGTAAATCAGGAGCGTAAATGCGTCAGTATAATAACACAAACTTATGCATGTCAAATTAAGCATTTTATCACCAGGCAACTGTAGAGCACCTCTGCAAAAGTCCTGCAGACAAACAACATCAGACAACATCTGCCTTCAGGCTCATTTCCACCATCAGAACTGGGTAATTTTAGTAGACCTTCACTGTATGTGGAGAAGCACGTGCCATAAAAGTCACAGATCTGTCTTCATTTCAGCGGGCAAGCCTAAAAGTATTGATTTCTGGGCAATTTCTGGAACCAAAGCCATGGGGTAGCCGGTAGAGTAGTGGGTGGCAGACGTTGCCAAACATCCAGCACTTGTAAAATTGGAAGAGGTGCTGCTGTAGCAGACTGGAAGGTCTTGTCATACATAGCTGCTTTATTTATTTATTTTTTAAATCCACCCTCCCAAAATATAGCATCCAGACCACCTCATTTAAAAAATAAAAAATCTCCATTCACACGTAACCGCACAAGTTAAGCACATTCATAGGCATGCCAGACCTGTAGGCGGCAGTATTTCCCCTGAATCCTATCCATTTCGTCATACTCGACTTCAACAAAACATGAAACATGGCGCCTAGCTGTAGAATTGCTCCTAAATGTAGTTTTTAAACTCATTTAACTACTAGTTAAATGTAGCTTGATAACGCGAGCACAGCTCGAGGGCATCCATGTTGTAGTGTAAACACAGGTCGCACATGGGCCATCAGCATTTTTGTCGCAGACAGTGACGTGAAACCTAAAACTCCGATTATTTCTGCCCACACAGAAACACTTAAAACAAAGAAAATGCAAATCTTCACTTTAGCTGATGTTTTTAACAAAATGTATGCGTAAATCTGTGTTTTGATGTGGACGACTCGTAGAAAATCTTTGTTTTGGGAGACACCCAGCTACGTGTGGACAGGACCCAAGTCTCCTCCCCTTTCTGTCGACTGAGAACAAATGAATGTAAGAGAACAAAAAGTTATTTTCTGCTCTGCTTTGCCTCACGCCCTGCGTCACCCAAATGTTGTACTTCAATTTAAATCATAAATATTTATGTGAGTTTCATCTACGTCTGTCACGTAACGTGAGATTTATTACCTTGTAAAAATTCATATTTAAAATGACTACAAATCAGATATGTTGCACATATGACATCACCACAGAACCTCCATCCCCCAGCGTAGCTGCTACTTACCACATGGCCAGATTTATCGTGGTTTTCTCCACATTTAATGCTCCTTCTTTCACCCTGGAAGAAGTTTGTTAAGCTCACTAAACTGAAAGCCATTTTTCTTCTTCTTGTCTAGTGTGATGACATCAATTTAGTGAGACAAGCATTTGTAGTCCTATGTGTTTTCACACAAAACCTATTATAACTTTTTCCACCTGTCAAAAATACGTGCTTTCTGGCATCAAAATGTTTCTTTGAAATTCACGGTCGCCATTTGTTAAATCCATGGCACATATCAAACAGGATCACATAATAACCTTTATTGGATCATAGATTCCCATTCACTTTTTGACAGTAGGGGACCTATAGTCCATAAGTATGGGCGTAACTTAAGCACCCTATCCTTCCACGATGCCGTAATTCATGCTGCGTTTTTTTGTATGCCACTATTTATGGCACACAGCTGTTCTCCCCATCCACTTAATAGTTTTTTTACAACATACTTTGACGGAATAAAACATCTTTAATAATATTAATGTCAATGGATGTCTTTAGTGCCTATCGGTGATGTCACTCACTGCTGAAAAAATCACTATATGCTGGCATCTAGGCAAAGTCCTGAAAGGGTCAACTTTGTACGAGAGGACTAAGCGAACATATTTTCCTCGTCACCTTCCCCGCTCCCAGAAATTTACCAGAACTCCTATAGTAGAAATGTCGCGTTTGTTTTGATTTTGTGATGCATCAGATTAGCCATGAGCGCTGTCCAAGATTAACCTTCCTTCAGGCTGCATTGTCTCCCTGTGTGCTAAACTTTGGTTTGACCCTTTTGATCAGCCACCAATATGACGTGAAGTGCATTTAACAAGTAGTTTCCCACCAGAATGATGAGCTATTCAAAGTTTGTGTTGTTTTGTTTTATTTAGTTTTCCTTCTTTTGTGTAGAATGCAAACAAATACGTTGAAGTTTTTGTGCAATTTTCTGTCTTCAAACATAAAATGTAGAAAATAGTTGCATGTGCTTGTTTATATGATCTTTGATGAGACTAATTCTTCACAACAGTGACTTTAAGTGGACATTCCCATAACCTGTTCTTTTCTTTTTTAGAATAAAAATATGGTAAATCGTCGCAATTACAACACGTCATACATTTCCAGAGTGTGAGCGTTTATCTGAATTACTATGAAAAATGTCCCAGATGACGTGTGTTGATGCTCACATCACAGGGATCCGCTGATATATCACATAGATATCGTTGAGTAACACGTTGTACATTCATGGCTCAGTATAGTGCCAGTCTTTAAGGTAATGTACACAAACATTTACAGCGTACGTGTTGAAGTCAGGTAACCTTGACTTGAGTTATAAAAAAAATCATAAAAACCTTGATAAATTCACCACAGATAAGGACACCTGCTGACTGGAAACTTGGGCTAAACGTACACCTTCATGATTACAAGCCTCCTTCGTGTTCACCTGTTTTCTTTCAATCGCTCTTCGCCAATCGATCTACAGACCAGACACTAAATCACACTCAAACTAAGATATAATAAAACTCAGCAAAATAAAGCCAACAGTCTGTGTTTGCTCATCTTAGTCAAAGAAAAAAAGTCCATTTGAACTCCTAAAATGTCTTTTCTATTTTTTTTGGCAAAGTTATGTTCCGGTCTTCCAGCAACCAAACCTCCTTTCAAATAGTTCTATTGGGTTCTGGCCCTCGAGGCTAGACATGAGGCAAACAGCGGTCCATCATCGCTGGAGAAGCAGGATGGTTAATGGGAGCAGCAGTAGGAGGTGACAGATGCTGGCTTGAGACATGGTGGCACCTCCAACGGGGTCATTCTTTGGCGAGTAGGCGTACAACCCTGGCCTGCTCCGAAGACAGTGACCACTCACGCACATCCCACTTCCTGATCCGCTAATGTCATCACCTGGATAGTTTTTAGAAAGAGAATTTAGTTAAAACTAGTCATGAAAAAAAATTAAAGGTCTCGTTCCCTGAAAAATTGTTTCATTCTTGTTCATTTTGAAATACGATTGGTCACTCTGCGTTGCACGTTAACATTTTTTGCATTCGCTATCGATCACATTAGCCGCAGGAAGGCAATAGTTGGGAAAATAAATGGGTCAGAAAGAGCTAGTGTCTTCTAGCCTAGAAATTTAGACAGACAGCAGGCGAAGCAAAATGATTTTGCTCTACATGTGGGTCTAGCCACGCTCCATATGAACCTCAGCAGGCCAGACCAGTTTTGTGGCTGGCCAATCACGGAGCTCTATAGGTTTGGTGGGCGGGATATTACTGCGACTGAGCAAAAATATAAAGATGGCGACAGCTTGTTTTAAACTGCTTTGGACTATTTAGGCTTGGTCTTTTCTTTGAGTCAAGAGCAGATAAAGGTACTTTAGACAAAAGACGTATTTTCGTCTTCTTCAACAGTGTATGGGAGACTGCCCTGTTGACTGACATCCGTAGCTGTGCGTTTGTCATGTTGTTCGTTGTCCAATAGCATGTGGAGACAGTTTGAAAGACAACCATAGATCCCGCCCCACAATCGAGATCTGTCTATGCGTCGTGGCCAGACTAAAGCCGGGCGTACACTGTGCGACTTTTTCACTCGCAGCGTTCAGCTTCAGCTCTAACTGTACGACTTCCTCACAGAGCAGATCTCACGAGTCATGTGCTCACATTGCACGACCCAGTTCTAGCATGCGACCTGACTGCTCACACTGTACGTCTGGTAGCAACACGTCGGCCCTAAAAATATGCTAAAAATAGCAGTTTTTACTCAACACGTCAGACTTTTTTGTTTTGCCTGTTGTCCTTCGGGAGTGCTGCAGGGGGACACACAGGGATTTATGGGGGTTGGATGAGGAAAACGAAATAAAGAAAGTAAATCTGTGTTTTGTGATCAGTTTAATTTGACATGAACACGACAAACACGCTTTCTTGACAATCTTTGTGAGTAAAAAAACGTGTAGAAACAAAAACGAACAACGTGTGTTATTAGGGAAATAGCGAGCGGCGTTGATGCAGGATTGCGCATGCGCCGTGAGCGGTTCTGATACTTTTTGGGTCGCAGCTGCTCGCAGCGCCGCTTCAACAGTGCGATACCCTCACGAGGGATGAGCGAAATTTTAAACACGCCAGAAGTCCGTGCGACCTCACGACTGCTGATCGGCAGCTGGTCACGTGGTGTTAATCGCCTCTCGTAACCCCCTGTACACTACACGACCGCTCGGCGCAAAACTCGCCCTGATGTTGTGGATTCTCGCACGACTAGAAAATCGGCTCAAAAAAGTGAAAAAGTCGCACAGTGTACGCCCGGCTTAAGCCTCTCCTACATCACAGCGTAAATGATCATTCATGGCTCCATCCACCTTGGCTCACAAATGCAGACGGTTGTGTTGATTTAGCGGTTAGTAGCCGCTAACCATTAGCATTAGCATCTCCACAACATGGCGGAACCTGATCAGGCTTGAATTATTTGTGGAGATTAAACATCAGCATTGCCTGTCTTACACAATAAGACAGCGCAGTTGAGGGCAACAGATGAGTTGTGTTCTTGTTAGCCAATCAGAGACAAGACTTGCATATCATTGAAAATGTATGCCCCACTTCTCCTCCGACTAACTTCTACTTCCTTTACAGAAACCCCCTCACAAGATATTCATTCATAACCGATTCATTCACAGCAGATTGCTTTTTAATAACAAGTGAATGAGAACTTTAAACTTTCTTTGTTTCAGTGATTACTGCTGATGGGTAATTTATCTGTTTACAAGATAAGACAAAAACTACATTTAATGCAAGATGTAAAATAGTTGGAATGTATTCAGAAAGAAAACTCTTGAATAACAGTTCAAAAGGCAGCTATTGTAAATCATTCCATTTTGTTTCATCGTGTCACTCTTACATTTATCATTTAAATAATCCTTTTAAAGGCACAATTTGAAAGATGCAGTGACATTTAACAGTATAAATTGCCAAGCAGTCAACCACTTCACCCTGTCCTTTCAAGCATGCAGTAAACACTACAGCATCTGCATAAAAATGAGCACAATACTGCAGAGCATTTTTTAAAATGATGGCAGACAAATTCCTTTTTAACACAATAAAACCTGCTTTCTTCTTTTTTACGCAGATCTACAATTATGAAAGAGATTTTTTTTCAATATTCTTGATAATAATTAAAAAAGTTAAACTTTTCAAATAATTTCAAAGAGAAATTCTGATGACTTTGATAAAATTGTGCACTGGAGAAAAGACAGGACTGATTTAGCTCCCCCTGAAACGTTCAGACATGCAGAATGAGACCCACTTGCGTCCTGGAAGTCCACGTCGTTGCCTTCTAATGCACTTTTCTGCCTGTTGCTCATTATTTTGAGTTGCATAATCTGCTGCCGGACCGTCATATCTGGCTTTGTGATGTCAAGCTCAACTTCTGGATTGTTGATCTGATTGGCCAAACCATCTCCCATCACCTCTGGAAGGTACCTGAAAATGAGATACATTAACATAATCACTGAAATGAGCACAGCTTATGCCTGTTAAACTGCAAATGAACCTATTTCTATACTTAGTTCAAGGTGTACTACAGCTACAACCATACATTCATGCACAATAAATGCATTCTGAGTTTTCACTTAATCCACTACATGATAAAAAGCAGCTTCAAGTAGTTCATCACACAAATAATTCCCTCTCTGCCGGGCAGATGCACAAAATTCATTTATTCTCTATCTGTCACACAGTTGGTGATTCATCTATGTTTCATGGCCACTCTCACATTATTCAGATGCGTGAAGACACATTTATTATTCAAACCTCTTGGATGCCGTTCATTTCTGAATAAACTGCTCAGTATAAATCTCATTGCTTTGCTGTAATCCAGCACACTTAGACTGGGAGGTGTAGAAGGTAGGTGGTTAACACAAACCTTACCACACAACACACACACACACACACACACACACACACACACACACACTGATAGGTGCTTGTATGTTTAATGTGGTGCATGATTGGGTCCAGCCTTGAACGCCTGCGCAGCTAAATGTGAATTTTATCAAAGTTTTAAAACACTTTGGGATGAATTCGTGCAGTTTTCGGTTTGTTGGGGTGACATTGCATGTAGGGTTTCTGCTTTGACCAATTCTCTTTTAACAATAAAAGGAAAAGAATTCTGTGGCATAACTTCAGGGCTTCATGCTTCTTTTTTTAATTTTCACTAAGTTCTCTCATCTTAGGCAGCAATTTTTGTTTATCTTTACAACAACAAGCTTTCTTTTTGGAAGCAATCGTGTTTTTGTGCTGCAGGAATAAAACTTTCAAACCTTGAATCTGTTTCGTTGAAGCAACACTAAACGGTTTTTAACGCTTTAAGCTAGCCCTTTAAATGTGGGTTTAAGTGACAGTGTGAGTACAAACTTTGCCAACTTCACATTAAACACCACTCTGCAGACCTCTGCTCACCAGAAACCGCACACAACAGTTTTATGAAAAGTAAAGGTACTCAGTGGGGGGGAGCTATTTCCCTGTTTTATGGCTGTTAGCTGTTATGCTAGCAGTTAGCTATTTCAGTTTGCCGATAGTCAATAAAAAACACAAGAAGAAGAAAAAGAAGTTTGTTAGCATCATGACAAAGCCTGGAAGTAAAAGTAAGAGAATGTTTTTGGAGGCGAAGCAAAGAGCTACAACCAGGATGAACATTGACACTTGTTTGAGGAAGCTAATGAAGTATATGAAATAACAGACTGATGGTGACCTGGCTTTGTTGCTACTGGACGTGTAAGTAAAATTTTTTTTCTTACAGCGTGGATCTTTTCACTTCCTGGTTTAATTTAATACTGTCAGACTGGTCGGCTGGATTCGAGAGTTGAGCTTGTAGAGAGCTTGGTTTCACAGCCGCGGAAGTAATAGCGTCGGTGAAACGCCGGCTCACGATTTAATCTAGGAATCCCCGAGCATTCGCGCATCAATGAAGTGACACGGAAATGCCGGGTTTTCCAGAAGTAAGTAAGAACACTTACTGTGAGCGGATAGTTCGTAAGATGGATCGGTTGATTGGAAACTCTGATCATGGATCTGAAGAAACGATGACTGAGTGGTGAGCTGGGGAGGCGACTTCCGTATATAGTCGCAGTTAGTGACGTAGGTGTGACGTGGAGGGAATCCCCGCGAGGGGCATGCTGGGAGATGTGGTCCACGGTGGAGATCGGCTAGTTGGGAGAGGCTGGCTTGGGGACTTGGGTTCTGACAAATACCAGTCGACTCATGTTAGCGTTAGCTTGTCGTTAGCGCAGGCTGCAGCAGGGTTGTTTATGATTGTTGTAATTCCACTTTCCACCAGTAGGAGAGTGAATCAGGAAAATTGTTAGTGTTACTTTAAACTCTAGTGAGCGAGTGGCAGGGAGCATCATTGCTGAGATGAATACTGAATGTTGCGGGCAGTAGTAGCTCAGGAGGTAGTGTGAATCGTCCAGTAATCAGAGGGTTGTAGGATCGATTCCTGATCTCGGCAGCAAATTTTGCTGTTGTGTCTTTGAGCAAGACACTTAACCCACCTTGCCTGCTGGTGGTGGTCGTTAGGTCTGGTGGCACCTGTGCTTGGCAGCCTAGCCTTTGTCATTGTGCCCCAGGGCAGCTGTGGCCACATTGTAGCTCATCACCATCAGTGTGTGAATGTGTGTGTGAATGGATGAATGATACACTGTAGTGTAAAGTGCTAGACAAGTGCAGGTCATTAATCATTTATATCACTTTTAATTTTGACCTTTAATTTACAAAGATTGTGCTTTTAAGGATTAGAGGATGGAAGAGCTGAATCAAATGAAACAATATCTCATAGGAGTTAGCCATATTTTATAATAATTTCAAAGCCTATCGAACTCCTCTGTGGTGTCTCACCTGGCTTTAGTATTCCCATTCCAACAATCCTCCTGACTGTTGCCTCCTGCTGCAAGTTTTCGACAGAGTTCCACAGGCAGCTGGACCCAGTAGTGACGCATCTCCCGGAGCTTACTGGAAATATCTGAGACCTGAAAATACAACCCACATCCATCAACAATGGATTGACCAGCTGAGACCATGCAGCCACATGTGTGGAACTACCACTTGACCTCCACATGACTACTGACATTACTGGATTATCTGGATTAAAGACACACCTCTTTCATGAGGCTTTTGAATACCCTGGAGTGTCGAATCTAGTACTCTTTATTTAAATTTTATTTTATTGTTGTTTTTACTGTTGTTCTGACATGTTTTTAATTCCATTTAAAATGTTATGCAAATGTTAAGCAATTTACCCCCTAAGAAGTGTAAAGCACTACACAAATAAAGATTGATTGATTGATTGGTTGATTGATTGATTGATTGATTGATTGGTTGATTGGTTGATTGATTGATTGATTGACTGATTGATTGATTGATTGATTGATTGATTGATTGATTGATTTGACTCCGCAAAGTATCGGCCAAGTCTTGTTATTCAAAGAGAGTTTATGCTAATGTTCAATGTTCATTTTATTTTAAATACATTTTGAACATTTCTCTTTATTTTTATTCAATTAAATTCAATTCAAAAATACTTTATTAATCCCAGAGGGAAACTGATTGCTGTAGTAGCTCAGAATAATAATAATAATCAAGTCATCAAAGAGTTGTTGTATATTACAATGGCTGTTGGCAGGAAGGATCTCCAGTAGCGGTCAGTGTTGCAGCCAAACTGAAGAAGCCTCTGACTGAAGACACTCTTCCGTTGTCGAACAGTCTTGTGAAGAGAATGCTCAGGGTTGTCCATCATTTTCTTGATTCTCTGGAGAATCCTTCTTTGCATTATCTCCTCCAGTGGTTCCACAGTCGTCCCCAGAACAGAACCAGCCTTTTTTATTAGGCTGTTGAGCCTTTTCAGGTCCCTGCTTCTGATGCTGCTACTCCAACACACGATGGCTGAAGAGATTACACTCTCAACAGCAGACTTGTAGAAGATCTGCAGCATCTCCATATCCTTGCCACTGAGGAGCTTTTTGACCACCTCAGTGACCTCAGCACCAGAGATTCCTCACTGGAAGACGTGCCGGTGGGATTGAGGAGGTCTTCAAAGTTTTCCGCCCACCGATTCACAACATCCCGAGTAGAGGTCAGCAAAACACCGTCCCCACTATAGACAGTGTTGGTAGAGCTCTAGTTTCCCCTCCCGAGGCACCGGATAATGGACCCGAATTTCCTTGAAGCTGTGTGGAAGTCTTGCTCCATGGTCTCACCAAACTCCTCCCATGCCTGAGTTGTTGCCTCTGCGAACACCTGAGCCGCATTCTGCTTGGACTGTAGGTACCCATCAGCTGTCTCTGGAGTTCCGCAGGCCAAAAAGACCCGACAGGACTCTTTCTTCAGCTTGACAGCATCCCTAACCGCCGGTGTCCACCAGCAGGATTGGGGTTACTGCCAAAACAGGCACCAATGACCCTACTGCCACGGCTCTCGTCGTCCGCCTCAACAAAGGAATGGAACAGAACACATTTGAACTCAATGTCCTCCGCCTCCCCAGAACGTTTTGGGAGTTCTGTCGCAGGTGTGAACTCAAGCTGTTTGTGACAGGAGACACTGCCAGATGCTCCCAACATAAAGTCTATTTAAACAATAACCAGCTAAAAAAACAAGCTAAGTAATATATATTCATATATATATGTTCCTGTTCATCCTGAGGCTACATTAGGAAGCAATCTCTTAAGTGTTCTCTATAAGCCACTTAACTATTTATGCAAATCACTTAGTAACCATGGTAACCCATTTCCACTCCAGCATGGGTATTTTCTCTGATTAAAAAGGTCAAACCCTAGTAAAACAGCTGTTCTGTGTCGCAATCCCTGAACTTTCATTAAGTCTGATTAAAAGTATGAAACTTGATTTCACGGCGATGAGATGTGAGTCAGTAGAGCATAAAACATGTCGGTCTCTACTCCTGATAGTGATTATCCACAGTGAGGAGTCAATTTAATAAAGCACTTACGCATCTGTATTTATTTAATTTGCACGAGTATGTGTGAGTGTGCAGTGATCCTATCACACAGGAGAACACATCTTACAATGTAATCCTCGGAGTTGAATACATTGTTTTGATTTGGATGATTCTTTAAAAAAAACATTCAAACAGAGATGCGTATACTAACTGAGCCAGAGGAGCTTTAAAACCTTTTAAATTATACCACAACATGTTCTATAAGTATTCTGCCTAATTCAAGCCTCCTACTTTACTTTTGAGCCAAAAGAACAACATGTTGTTACCTGGTGTTTAAAGTAAAAGGTGAGAAACGAAAGTGGATTTTCAAATCTGTCTTTTTCCAGATGAACTGGTTCTAATATCAGCAACACATCAGGCCAACTCATCTTCATATTTGCTACAACATTCAGCAGGTAGAGGAGCACACCTGCATTTCCAGTCTGAGTCCAGCGGTGGGAGAAGGTTTGTATTCCAGTGCAGTCAAGGAGCCGCTTTTCCTCTTCTGCTCATGGAGAGTGGGACTTCCTGTTCCCGGTTCACCAGGAATTCCACATGTTTGGTAAACCTACACACACACACACACACACGCACACACACACACACACGCACACACACACACACACACACACACACACACACACACACACACACACACACACCAAGCAATGTGTCTATAGTTACATTACATTAGTTACAAGTTTATATTGAAACCAGACTAATCATTTGGGTAAAATGCATCAGCAAGCCTCCTTTTTCCAAGTATCTCAGTCTTCCAATTGCATCGAGGCAGGCTTCAATATGATTCACACTAAATAATAATAGTAATTTTAAAGTCCTAAGCATGAAAACACAGTAGGACACAAGGGAAGTAAAAAGTAGTTTTATGAGTAGTTTTAAAAAACCATCCACTAGATGGTGCCAGACACTAATGTTTCAAACACGCATCCGTAGATAAAGGAAAATGTGCCTGTTTGCCATGACTTTTTAAGATATTGAGTTTGGCTCGCAACTTCGTCCCAGCTTTCATTTTGGCCCAGTGTGAATTAGAGTTCGACACCCCTGGATTAAAGCGTGGTCATTTATTCTCTGCCGTCAAGACGAATTTAAGGAATCTGGGTGTTGTTTTTGACTAATCAAAGCCCTTGACCGACTTCAGTTGGTCCAGAACTCTGCAGCGAGGCTCCTAACTGGAGCAAACAGAAGAGCACCAATCACTCCTATTCTAATGTCTCTTCACTGGTTACCCTTTAACTTTGGAGTTCATTTTAGAATCCTGACTCTACATGATCAAGCTCCTCCCTATATTACTGAACTGTTAAAGCCTTATGTCCCAACCCGAGCCCTCAGGTCCACCCACCAGAACCTTCTAGAAGTTCCAAAGACCAGATATAAAAGTCGAGGTGATCGCTCCTTCCAGACTGTTGCACCTCGACTCTGGAATGATCTTCCTTTATCCTTAAGCAGCATCGACAGTCTGGACACTTAAAAAACACCTAAAGACCCTTTTATTTAAAGCTGCTTTTACCTAAATCTTTTATTTTCTTATTTTTAACTCAAATTTGTAATAATTTTTCATCTGTTAGTGAAATTTTATCATTTTATGACCTAATTTTTTCTGATGTTAATTTAATTCTGTTTTGAGATCATTATGATTTTATGATTGTTTTATTTAGTTTTGATCTATGTGAAGCACTTTGTGATTCTATGTCTGTGATAAGTGCCAATTTACTAAATAAAATTAGTAACTTAACAGTTTGTGTTTGTGTAGGAACACTAGTGTGAGGTCTCTATCTGCTTTAAGGTTGTTTACTGTGCAGGTAGCTCATATAAAGGCTACCAGTAGCTTTATCAGTCTGCTGACAACACGAAGTGCAAGGAGAAGCATGTAGCTTTTGTTCTTAGCATCATGGCGGAGCCTGGACTTAAACGCAAGAGAGTAAGGCTGCACAATACATCGTAAATATATCGTTATCGCTATATCAGCATGCACAATACGCATATCGCAAAGACCAGATGAATATCGCAATGAATGTTCAGCTCAGATGTTTGCTACACATAATGCATTCTGTCAGTCAAACGAAAGCATGATTTTTTTTAACAAAACAAATGGAGCTCTTCACCCATTTGGCCAATTGGGTGCTTAATTTTAATGGTTAGCAAACACCTGAGTTAGCTTTGTTCTGCTCTTTTTGCTGATTCTGCTTTTTTCCGGGATCCACTGATTGCCTTTTCTTGTTCGTTTTCTTTTTCAGTTTCCTCACACCTTTTGTTTTTCTCATTTTTACGATTTTTTAATTTTTTTGTTTTTCGTTATTTTTGTTCCTGAGTCAAGTTTTTATTTATCACATTATCGTTATTGCAATATTAATCATTGTTATCGAATATCGCAGGTTTTCCTAGTAGCCCTACAAGAGAGTAATGTCTTTGAAGGTGAAGCAAAGATCGAAAGCCAGAGTGAAAATCAGCTAAGTCCTCAGTTGAGGAAGCTGAAGGAGGCTGTGAAATCATGGATTGATGGTGACCTGGCTTTGTTGCTTTTTTCCAACAATGCGGATCTCTTTAATTTACGGTTTATTTTAGAATGGGTTCGCTCATGTTAGCATTAGCTCATTGTTACCACTAGCTACAGCAGGCTGCAGCAGGGTTGCTTTTGAAGGTTTTCATTCAGCTTTCAACCAGTAGGAGGGAGAAGCGAGGAAACTTAGTGTTGCTTTAAAACTCGTAGGAATTGACTTGACCAGATAAGAAGAATGTCGTACCTTAGCTGTGAACGCATCCGTGTTCTCCTGTAGGTAGTGCACTGCCTCGTAGATTCGAACAGGAATGGAGGACAGAACCACATCGAGACTGGGTTCTGTGCTGAAACTGGATGCCACCTGGATCATCGTGTCTGACCGGAGACACAAAAACATGAGTTTTTGCTCTATATGTTCACTCTTATTAAAAATCGAGGTCTCAGATTAAGCAAAAACAACGTTTATGTAAAAACATAAAGTAGACAGTGCCTCACCTATTAGCTCTTGCCACACTGGGTCCAGATCAGCCTGGTTGGCCAGGCAGCCCTTCATCACATTGAAGCAGTAGTTGGAGCAGGGTTTGACGGAGGCTAAGCCCCGACAGTGAGGGCAGTAAAACAGCTTCATCAGCGCCCTCAGACACTCTGGACCCAGAGGCACCTGGTGATGGAGGAAACACACACATCAGACCACAGGAGAGAAAGGAGGAGCTTCATGTGTTGCTTCAAGGTGTTGAACAGTGGAAAGTTGGGATCATTGGTCTAAGACGACAGCAGGGGGCAGTATTTACACGTTACCAGGAGGGTGTGTGTGGGGGGGTGGGGGGGGGGGGGGTGGACAAAAGGCATCAGTCAGATTTTACAGTGCTGGGGAATGTAAAGTAATGTTTGTTCCACTAAGTATCAGGATTAAAGACAATAAGAAATTTATGTCAAGCCACAAAATGTGACAATAATAGAAAACAAGGTTTAAACAAATCTGAACATTTTAGAGAAACCAAAAAGCTCTAAAAAATCATCGTCACACCGGTGATGTGACATCAGTCGTCAACCCCTCAGGATGAAGGCTTTGTACTGAGTCTGACGCTTCAGTTTTGATGATGTTTTTGCCTCCCACTGGTAGGGTGGAGGCCTTTTCTCTGACGGTGTGGGTGTGACAGCCATGCAGCTGTCATATCTGCTTTCCTGGGAATCAGCCCAGCCGATATTAAACACTCACACATCGAAACTGTTATCAGACTTTGACTAAAATTGTACTTCTGATGAATAAAAAAACATAATTACTGCACGCAAACCCCAAAATTGTATCGTTTGTGTTACGGGAACTCGGCGTTCGTCTAAAGATTTATGCCTCATCACCAGGAACAGAAGTAAAAACACTTACCTGTGAGACCTTCCTGACCACATCGGTGCTGACTAACAGCCCCTGGACAAATGACCTGGCAGTGACAAAGGACCGGATCACCTTTGCTTTCATGTCCCGAGGGACGTCTCCAAATGGTCTTAGCGTCTCTTGTTGCTTAGCGACACATTCAAGGTAGTCCTCTGACAGGTTGACCTGTCAGACAGAGATGACAGCAGCAGACAGGAAGAGAATGACGTTCTCTACTGTAAAACATTTCATTAAAATAGTCATTTGATTGGATTTCTAGCTATCACTTTTTATTACTTTATGTTAGTGAAAATTAAAGGGCAGTTCTACTTTTTCTCATGTGATTCTGAGCCAGATAAAAGAGAGCATCTCAAAGGACCTGAAAAACGAGGATTATTCATCACTTCGTCCAAAATCTGGTTTTAAGATGCAGCCATTACTATGCCAGCAGTGTTCTTCTGTCTCCATCCCGGTTCTCTGACCCAGCCCTTCATCTGGCTCTGGTTCCCATTTCCACATCCTTCTGTTTCTTCTAAACTTTGCATTCTAATTCAGGATCTAAACACACGCCGTTACTCACATCTGTAGGAGCAGATGCTTTAAATGTTCTCTCCAAAAGGCGGGACCAGAAGTCAGATAAGTTCTCGTCCAGGTTGAGGGCGGAGCCTCGATAGTACTGACGCAGGTCGGTGTAGAGGTCCCCAAACAAACGAGTGTTCTGGGAGTACAGGGGCCCGAGCGGGGACAGCACCTCCTGCAGGGAGCGCTCGGAACGGCCATGCAGCTCTGTGAAATAGGCTGAAGAGAATAAGGAATACAAAACTGGTGATCATCTGAGATATTTTAGTCTTTTCATCGCATATAGACTACACTTTAAACACCTGCTGGCTGAAAACTTTGTGTTTCTGCTCTTTAACTCTGAGGATTTTCTGTACAGGTGCCGAAAAGGAAAGGAGCACAGGTGAGCTGGTGGTCTACGGTAAATGCAAAAAGAGTATGTTTTTAGTTTCCATGGAGCCCGACATTTATCATAGCTTTTAAAGTAGACCTGACCGATACCTTTTGGACAGCCTTTCTCTGGACTTTGGCAGCTTTTTTCCTCCTTTTCTCTCCAGACCTTGTACCTGATCATGACCACATGCTTGCTTCTGTGTATAAAATGTACTATATAAATAACGCTGCCTTGTCTTCACAGACCTAAGAGAATGACTGAGGACATAAGTTCTCTGGCATAAACCTGAATCTGCCTGCCCATGAAAACGCTTATCTGTATTTAACCAGAATCTAGTGTTGCTGAGTTAGCAGTGAGGTCAAACAAGCAGATTTGGGTTATCTGGTCAGAAGCCCGCCAGCAGCAGGCTGGATGACCTGTAAGCGCTCTACGGAGGGTTTGCTCAGACATGAGAAAATTGCACAGCAGTGTTTAAAACATGATCAAACAAAAGCACGAATAATTATCTCCAGTTCAGGACATGTTACAGTCGAGTGCAGTTTAGCAATATTTCTAAGCTGATGAAAGCAGGAGTGAATCAGAGACTGAACTTAAAACATCTGATGTAAACCTGAGTCAGAGTAAACCCATCCGATTCCTGACAGGAAAGTTTGTTATCGCACCCATAATGACGTAAGAGTTTATTTTTCTCCCCAGACACAAACATAACTGTTGTGCAGAAATGTTTTGTTTTTTCTTTGTTCAGTCAAAGAAAATCAACCATCAACTATCTGACTAGGTCTAAGCACTTAGAGCTTAGAGACATTGTCATAGCAAAAGGAGATGTGCACCTAAACATGAGCAGTGATGTGAGACGCATTTAAAATCTGATTTTAAAAAGGTGCCGAAGAGCTAGATGAAAAAATAAATTAACAGGGGCCCCAGATCTGAACCCTGGGGTACCCCAAACACAACAAGACAATGAAGTCTATAAGGTAGCCACAAAATAACACTTTCAGATAAATATCACTTCAAACGGTTTAAAACAGATCCCCTCAATCCCACCTAGTCCATTTAACAAGCTCTAATGGTCGACTGAAGTCAGGTACTGCATGAGCAGGGCAGAAGACTCAGCTCTATGGGAACCTGACGGAAGCGGATCAAGAATGGTGTGTTCATCCGGAGCAGCTGTTTGCTGCTGAGCCACAGTTTTCCCAAGAGTCTGAGCATTAAATGGCAGAATGGTTGTGTCCAAACTTCTCGCACGCAAGAAAAAAATCATTATTTCTCAAATATTTGACTTTTTTAAAAGCAAAAATGAAATTCTTGCTGAATTTTCTTTAATTATTACTTGCTCAAAAATCAGTTCACGTTTTAAAGAAAATGAAGAATAATTTCTGTAAAAAAAAGTTAGTATATTTTTGTGCATCCAAGACAATAAACTATTCTATTAACCAATAAACTAACACAACAATATTTTTACCGGTATTGTACTTCACTTTTTCCCTTTTACAACTTCAAAACATTCTTAAAAACCTTACCCCATCTTTAAATTTGTTTTTATTTTCCATCTGCATTGTCATCCGGTACGATTAGTGAATAACAGTCACAGGCCCGACGTTTACCAAGGTTTTATTCAGCCAATAGCTCTTTGGGAATCACTTCGTTTTCACTAAAAACATTTTATTATTTTTTTCCTTTGATTTTTAAGTTTCCCTAACTGTTCAGAAGACCACCTGCAACTACTTCCTGGCAGTGATGCATGGGACACTGGATGAATTTTATTGTTGAGAAGATAAATTTAAACAGTTAATTCATTCAAACACATTAAAGGCTCCTTTGAAACTTCCTCTGCTGCCAGATGGATATAAAGTGACAGAGAGGTCAAACAGAGAGAATAAGGAAGTCAGAGAGCTGTCTCTGCAGGATAATGGTCCGGGCTTTACCACTGTGCTTCAAAGGCCGTGGACCAGTGCCAGCCTGTTGTAACCACAGCCAGATGGATCGCCACACTGCTGCTACTGAGGTGGCCCGCTGCCTTCACACCAATAATAATAATAATCTATCAGTCTGACAGTCCTCCTCCTTCCATCCATTTATTTGTCTTTATTTTTGCATTTTGACTCATTTCATTAACAACAAACACATTTCCCTTGTTGGTTTTGTATGATTTCCTGTTGTTAGTGGTGGCACGTCTCCATCCTCCCTCCATCCCCTCCCTGTCTCTGATGTGCAGGGATCTGCAGACTTGGCTCCTCAGTAGGTCAACTGCTCATTAGCTGAACTAGCTGCGGCCCCAGGGGACAGCCAAGGCTCTGTTTGTGTGTGTATGTGTGTGTGTGTGTTCCCCTCGAGATCAGGGGATCGGCTTATCACATTTCATTGTGTCTGGCTGACTCCGTTCTCATTATAGCACCCAGGTGGGGGTCTCCTTGTCGCACAGGACACACAACCTCATGCCCATCGACTCCCACAATGACACACCACCGTTGCTTTTGAAGCCGGAGTATCGAACACCGAGCACAGACAAACACAACTTCCCAGATGCACAACATACAAAGGTCACGCTCCTCTGGGTTCACTTCTGAAGGTTTGTTATTGAGCTGAGGCAGTAATGAGTGTCTTGTATGCACTCGTGCACAAACACCCCACTTACTGTCAAAGCTCCTGTGGAGAGCATTGAAAGTAGCCTGCAGGGACCTGCCGGCCTCTCTGATCAGTCCCTCGGTCTCCTGGGCGCTCAGATCGGCCAGGTTCTTCTCCATGGTGCTGGTGCAGCAGGTCGGACCCTTAGGACACATCCTCACATCCTCACCTGAAATGAGAGAGGCGCGGCATTATTCGTCTAGTTGTAATGCAGCATTTAAATGAGTCAGCGAATCTGTACATTCTCTACATTTTGAAGCTGCCACGAGGAGTTGTCTGAGTGTATGTGACAGAAAAATTACTTGCAGCTTTTTTCTTTTAATTCAGAATGATAGATAAATAAATAAACAAATCAATTAATAAAAACTACAGAAAATACATATCAGCACAAAACACTGAATAAATGAGCAGAGACATGAAAATATTTGGTGTTACCTGCCTCTTTTTGCGAAGTAAAATCGTCATAAAATCCTAACAGAACTTTCTAATGTAAACACAGATTCACTTTTATCACCTTCTTGGTCTGATTTTCTAGCTAAATCACAGACGCTACATCCATTTACATTTTACTTAAAACACCTAAAGGGCCTTGAATCGTCTATTTCCTTGTTCAGGTTGTTTCATAATTCCACACCAGACACTTCATTCATTCATTTCAGCTCTAAATTTAGTTTGTTTTAAGGACGTCATTTGCTTTCAGATTATAAGTACTTACTCATATTTGATGGTAAGGTATTTTTATTGGATATGTACATTTTTTGTAATATTTTCCACTCAGCTAAATCATGAAATTTCTGTACTTTATGTTTGATAAAAAGGCTAGAGTCATCTTTTTATTATTAAAGCTCTCATTCACTCATTTTCTCAATACATTTGCAGTAGTCTCTAGTATAAATAGGCATGTTTCCACGGTTAGAACTTCATGGTAATTTTACGGAACCTCCACTTCACCAGGCCAGACCAACGGGCCATGTTCCAGGCCATTTTTTACTTCTGGAGTACCTGATCAGAGGTAGGTACTCCAAACGGCCCGGAGAAGTCGCTAAGTTGGTTAACACGCGCTGATTGCTTTTAAAATAGGAAATAACATCAGCAGACATTGTGTAAGACAACCAGTATTAGACGAGTTGCTTGTGAAGCAGAGCAGAAGCAAAAGAAAAGAAGCACCGATCGCGCTGCTTTAAAATTGCTGTTTCTAAACTCCCAAGCCCCCCCCCAAAAAAAATAAAAATAAACATGGCGGAATTCCTCCCTCAACAACGTAATTCACAGGGCTTTGTTGTTTAACAGATCGCCATAAAAACAGAGCTTCTTCAGGTAATTGAACTCCACATTTTACATCACACAGCTGCTCTCATTCTCCGAATGGATCAAACAAAGATTAGGCAGTTTTGGCTTGTTTTTAGCACCCCCTAGTGTTCGTTTGTAGAACCAAAAGCAAAACATATCTCCTCGCTGTGCGTTCGTCTTTTTAATACCTAACAGCTGACATGTCTCCCCAGCCTTCCTTAGAGTCTACAGGAGTCATTCATCAATAAATTAAACAAATCCGCTGGAAAAGTGCTGGAAGCAGACTGCAGTACCAGGTATGTCAGCTGAATGGTGTCATCAGAGCACCAGTCTGAAGTTGCAAGTGGAATATTCTGGCCACAGGGAGCGATAGGGGCTGGGTGGCCTGTAAAGGGTCACTCATTTTAGCACATCCTGGCTCAAGAAAATGATTTAAAATATAAAAAATAGCAAAGTGTCCCCTTACATTATGACATACTTCAACAGAATACAACTTTTAATGTTATTATTAGTGTTAGTGTAGATGCTTTTTGGCACTGCACAGTGACATCACTCACTGCCAAAGCTATCGCTAAATGCTGACATCTGTACAAAGTCCTGAAAGAGCACTTCTACACGAAGCTTGGGATATATCAACAAGTACTGCATTCAACAGCTCAGAAGTATTTAGAAAAATGTTACTTTATGTAATACAACAATGGCTTTGGCGATTTTCCCTGTATTTGATCCTATACGTGACTTCCAGCTCATTTTTACAGCTTTGTGTTTTGAACAAAACAAACCATGCCACAAAAATATACCTTTTTCACCTCTGGTGTTTAATACTAAGTGCATGAATCCGTTTCTCATAGAACAAGAAAACCTGGAAAAATAAGCTCAGAAAGTTTTTATTTATTTAATTTTATTTACTTATTTATTTATTTTTCTCCCGTGCCCTGTCTGGCTTATTGTTATTGTTTTGAATGCTTTTTAATTCCGACCAGACACGGAGACAGAGGTGAAAGAGAAAGGAAGAGACAAAAGGTGTGTGTGTGTGTGTGTGTGTGTGTGTGTGTGTGTGTGTGTGTGTGTGTGTGTGTGTGTGTGTGTGTGTGTGTGTGTGTGTGTGTGTGTGTGTGTGTGTGTGTGTGTGAGGGGGGTTGGGTTCCACAAAAATAAACAATAATGAACAAGAGTCTGCTTCTAGACCTGCAGAAAGAGAAAATATATATGGGACACAACAACAATACAACAAGATCAAGCTATCACTGCGTCAACTTGATGAAGAAATATATAATCAACATTGTTTAACTGAACAATCACACGATACTAAATCACAGTGCATTAAGTGCCAACCACAGCCTTAAGACATGTGTTGAACGTGCCCAAGTTCATACTTTTGAGAGCACCATGTAAGCACCTGTGTGTGTACACGTGCTTGTTTATGTAAGGTTTCTCTATAGGAGCCTCCAATAGAGAGTGAGGGGCCACAGATCTGCCCCCTAAAGATATGTAGGAGACGGAGGGAGCTCCAAGTCCCAGAGATCCAGGAGCTGCCCCAGAGCACAGGGACTCCAGGGAGACTGCGACCAGAAAAGCCCCCGCTCCCCTCGAGAGGCGCAGAGGATTGCCCTGGGGGGCCAGAGCCAGCAGCCGGCAGAGTCCCGGGAGATATCGGTAAGCCCACAGGCCCGCCCACAGCCTCCCACCACCTAGCCAGCCGAGCCCGGGACCCAGCGACCCGGGACACAGGGGCGACCACCCCCGCCGGGGACCCAGCAGAGCCCAGGGACCCAGACCCCATCAGGCAGCCACCGGGATTGGTCAGGCAGACGCCAAAAATATTAAACTCCCTGACCCGGGAGCCACGACCCAGGCAGACCAAGGCACCGCACTCCACACCAGGTGTGGCAGGGAGAGGGGAGACGAAGATGTATATCATCAAAAGAAGTCCCAGGAGAAGGGAGGAGTCAAAGGCCCCACCTGACATATACAGTCATACACAGACACTGTCACACACTCCCTCCCTCATGCTCACACATACACATACAACCAAAGACTTACAAAAATGCACGCCGGACACCCACTCATGCTCCCCATACACACCCTATTCACTCTGGTCCCGGTACTGCTGCACATGGGGTACAACCATCACCGGTTCCCAGAGTTCGACCCTTTCTGCTGGGGTGTTGATGAGCAGGCTCCCCCGCCCAACGCTGAGCACCCACCACCCCAGAAAGTTGGTTTTAAAGATGTGCTGTCACATTAGTGGAGAGCTGAATGCCTGCAAGGAAGCATAAACACCTTTTTTATAGGGTGTTAGGTTACTCTGGGAGGAATTAACACAAAGACATAAAATATCACAATTTCTGAAGAACTTTGATCACACCCTCCAAATAAAAGCCTGATAAAAGTGGGTATTTTAGAGCAGAGGTCCCCAATCCCCGGGCCACGGACCGGTACCGGTCCTTGGGTCATTTGATACCGGGCCTCACAGTGTTTTCGCACAGAAAAAAAAATAACACAGTGAATTTTATTTTGAAAAACGACCGGAGTCACTTCATTACACCCGCCGTCCTCTCACTCTTGACGCATGCGTGGAAGCTTGTCCGGATCACGTAGTACGGTACCGCTCGAAACACAACGCACCCTTATGCTAGCAAAATGAGTAAAAAACAAGCATCTCTTGAAAGTTTCTTTGTGAAGGGGAAACGGCCCAGTGAGGAGACAAAAGAAGAGGAGACTACGACTCCCAAAAAGAAGAAAGCTGTATTTAACAGACAATACCAGGAGCCCTACTTGACATATGGATTCATCGCGGCAGGTGACTGCCAGGGTCCAAGCCCGCTCTGCGTTATATGTGGCAATCAGCTCTCTAATGAGGCAATGAAGCCTTCAAAACTGCTTCACCACTTGGAGACCAAACACCCAGCATTAAAAGGCAAGCCTTTGGAGTATTTTGAGGGCAGGAGAAATTACTAAGTGCATTAAAAGCATTATACTTGGTGGCTAACTGAATGGCTAAGGCTAAAAAACCTTTCACTATTGGTGAAGATTTGATCCTCCCTGCCACTAAAGACATTTGTCGTGAACTTCTCGGAGAAGCTGCCGTAAAAAAAAAAAAAAATAGCACAGGTGCCTCTTTCAGCCAGCACCGTCACTTGATGCATTGAGGAAATAGCAGATGACATCAATTCACAACTGTTGGGAGAGGATTAATGCATCACCGTGGTATGCACTCCAGGTAGATGAAGCTACAGATATTGAAAACAAAGCAATTCTACTTGTTCATGTTCGATATCTGTATCAGGAGGACCTGCATGAGGATATGTTATGTGCACTATCGTTGCCGACAAAAACCACAGGCGAAGAACTATTCAAGTCACTGGATGATTATGCATCGGGAAAACTGAAATGGTCCTATTGTGCCGGCATATGCACAGACGGCGCTGCCGCCATGAACGGACCGCTGTCTGGTTTAACTGCTCGGATTAAAGAAGTTGCCCCTAAGTGTGAGTTTACGCATTGTGTCATTCACAAGGAAATGTTGGCTAGCCACCAGAATGTACGGAATGATGTTGTTAAAGTCATTGACCACATCAAAGCACATGCCCTTAACTCGCGCCGGTTCGAGCAGCTTTGTGAGGAGACAGACGCAGAACACAGACGCCTTCTTTTATACACAGAAATAAGATGGTTATCCGGAGGGAGATCGCTGACCAGAGTGTTTGAATTACGAGAGCCGCTGCAGAGATTTCTCTCAGAAAATTCACCGCTAGCGGCGCATTTCAGTGATGAGCAATGGGTCGCAAAACTTGCTTACTTATGCGACGTATTCAGCGCTCTCAGTGAACTAAATCCGTCACTTCAAGGGAAAATGACAACTGTCTTCAAGTTGACAGGTAAAGTAGCTGCGTTTAAAGCAAAACTGGATCTGTGGGGACGGCGCGTGATCAGGGGGATATCTGACATGTTTCCAATATTATCAGGACTATTGGAAGAGACTGAGCCTGAGCAGTCTTGCTCCCAGCTGATGCAGGATCACCTGTCTGTGCTTTCAAAAGAGTTTGATCGCTGCTTTCCAACCACAAAAGACCCACGCATGACCAAGGAATGGGTTTGTGACCCGTTTGTCAACAAACCAGATGAATCAAGCCTCTCTGTGCAAGAAGAAGATCAACTGCTGGAGATCACAAACGATGGCAGACTGAA